AAGGCAGATCCATTGGATGTGTGAATGCCGTCTGTATCTTCTCCCTTCCAGGGCAAAAGGAACACAGGTTAAATCAGGATTGCATCCGCTCAGAACACACTTTTCATGTCGTTTGCTAATGCAGGATGTTGCACGTGCTTGTCCTCACAGCCTTGCGGTGTTATTGTTCTTTTTCTTGGAGGGGAAAAAAACACACAGTCCAGATGGGTTTCCTATGCTTTACAACGGGGCTCCGGAGGCAAAGTGAAGATAAGCATTTTGCTTCTTCCGTGTCTGTGACTCTCCCCCATGGCTGAGCTTCCAAGGGGAGGAGTGTGTGCAGTGAGTGTTTCCACAAAGTTGCATTTTGAGTAGCTTACACATCAGGTTGAATATTTCCCACAAAGCAGGTGCACCATCTTTTTAGGCAGAGTCTCTAAGGGTGACAATTTCATTTCTTAAGGAAATATGAGTGGAAATGGGTCTCTTTAATTCCCCTAGAACCTAGCCATCTGGAACACGCCACGTGAAGCCCTCAAGTGTATTGTTTGGAGCACCACGCAGCGCCTTCACCACAGAGATGCGTTTGAATGCTTGCAGATGTGGCCAGCGGAGCCAGTGTCGGGTCTTGCTTTAGTTCCTTGTTAGTTCTGTGGGAATTATGCTTCAGTCGATTGGACAGACTTCAAATGCTTAGGTCAGAGAGGACTTATGGGAAGCATATGGAATCTTGAAAGGTTTGGGAGATATGGGTCTTTAAAGTGGACCTCTCTATTGCCTCTGATATAATAGTTTGTTACTTTTCTAACTCCAGCCCTTTGGCTTCCATGTACCAAACATTCCTGCTTCTCTTCTGCAGCTTCTCCGTCCACGTGACATGGATGTTCTCTAGGGCTTCGCCTTTGGCCCATTCTATGCGTCCCACCACATGTTCTTCCTGGATGGTCTCGCTCACACGCTTGGCTTTCACTGGCCTGTAGACAGACTGCTGTCAAACTGTCATCGCCAGCCCAGCCCTCTCCCTGAGCCTTTGATCTGCACATCCACGGGTCCTTAGTCATCTCTTTCTGGGTGTGCCAGAGGTACCTCAGACTATGGCTTCTCCACCGGACTCTTCATCGTGCTGCAGGGTCTCGTCTTCTGTCTGAGTGCTGTCTTTGTTGGTGGCCTCACCATCTATTTCTTAGTCCTCACAGCTTCTCTTGTAACAACAGATCAATAGCCAAGTTATAAATATATCTTTCACTAATGCTTCATTTTAATTTTTTATCAAGGTAACTCATGCTCATGGTTAAAAAGTCAAATCATGCAGAATGGCTTAGAAAAAAAAAAAAAAAACCCAATGGTTTCTTTGCCTCACTTCCTTTCCATCCCCATGTCTTCTTGCCAAAAGGGACCACTGTTAACTGCTGTGACTGCTTTTTATGATAGTTGTCCTATCTAATAAAGAGGGAATATGCTAATTGACCCTCACACTGTCACAAAGATGGAGGCACCCATAGCCAGTAAGGAGGGAATATGCTAATTGACTGCCAAACCCTCAAAGATGGCAGTGCCCATAGCCGCAAGATGGCAGTGCCCAGTCCCCTCAGCCCCGCTAGAGTGGCAGGTGCATGGCAAGGCTGAGCCCACCCCCAGGCAGGCCAGGCCATTCCATGCGCCTGCCTCCGTAGTCCCCAGCTGCTGAGGGCCGGTCTGAGGCGTAGGCAAGCCTCAGATGGTGGCTGCTCAGCTGCCCAAGGCCACCCGAGGCTCAGGTAACCAGGGCCACCCAAAGCTTATGCTTCTGGCAGTGGCAGTAGCAGAAGTGTGATAGGGTGTCACCTTCTAATCACTGGGTCGCCTCCCACCCCTGAGGTTCCGGACTGTGAGAGAGGGCAGGCTGGGCTGAGGGACACCCCCCCCCTCCAGCCCCCGTCCAGTGCATGAATTTTCATGCACTCTGCCGCTAGTTATATATCATTTAACAGTTATTTCCTCATGTGTCAATTTAGACAGTGTCTACTGGTTTTCTGCCACACTTCTATCTCACCTTCCTCCTTTACTCAGCATAGTGATACCACAATTTTTTGTTCCTCTCTTTAAGTAATTTAAGTAATATTTTATATCTTGCTCATCACCGTTAGATGGCATCACTTGGTCCCTGACTTACCTGGTGAGGGTCTTGCACCACCACCCTTACCTTCAGCTCCTCTCTTCCCAATTTCCCATCCTCTCCTGTCATGGGCACTGACTTTACAGTTACCAAAATTGATACTATGTATTTGATAAATTAATAAGTGGATTTCCTGAGAGCTTTGAGATATTGCTCCCTTTTGATATCCAATGTTGCTGATAAGTCTTATACCAATCTGATTGCAATTGATGTATGCTTTCTCTTTGGAAAACTTTAGGATATTTTCTTTTACTTTGGGTTTCTGAAATTTCCCCATTTGTGTTTCATTCATTTTCCAGTTTTCTCTTACTAGTTTTCTCCCGCTTTTTTCTGTTCACTTTTTTCTAGGATTCCTATTGGACAAACTGGAAATTTTTTTTTAGATGCTTATATTTTCTTCTTTTGCTGTATTCTGAAAAGTGTTTTTTTTTATTTTCTATATCATCCTGCACTTATTTTTATGAATGCAATATTTTATCAGCTCTTTGAGAATAATAATTACATTTTTAAAATTTCTTTTTTTTTTATTTTTTATTTTTTTAATATATTTTATTGAATTTTTTACAGAGAGGAAGGGAGAAGGATAGAGAACTGGAAACATCGATGAGAGAGAAACATCGACCAGCTGCCTCCTGCACATCCCCCACTGATGATGTGCCCGCAACCAATGCACACGCCCCTGATCAGAATCGAACCTGGGACCATTTTTAAAATTTCTTTTAAAGGTACAGACATTTCCCAAATACCGTCTGTTCCCACACATGCATAGCCTTCTCCATTATCACCATTCCCTACCAAAGTATATGGTATAATTGATGAACCTACATTGACACATCAGAATCACCCAAAGTCCATAGTTTATATTAGGATTCACTATTGGTGCTGTGCATTCTATGATTTTGGGCATATGCATAATGACATGTGTGCATCTTTATAGTATCATCTAGAGCACATGTGTCAAACACAAGGCCCGAGGGCCAAATCCGTCCCGCCAGGCCTTGCAATGTGGCCCGCACCGCGCTGTCATCACTGCACTCCGCTGCGTTTCCATCACAATGACAGTTTATGACTGTTCAGTAAACCATTCGGCCCGAGATTTAGGCTGAATTTTAGATTTTGGCCCCTTCTCTGATTGAGTTCGACACCCCTAAATTCTAGAGTATTTTCATATGGAACATTTCTCCATTTATTTAGTTCTCCTATGATTTTGTTAAGCGTACCATGTTTCCCCAAAAATAAGACATCCTCCAAAAATTAGACCTACTTACAGGTTTCCTTTTGAGTGAAATATAAGGCATCCCCCTGAAAATAAGGCCCCTCCTAGGCTAAACATGAGAGATTTGGTCCACTGATTCTGAAAGAAATGGAGTCATAAGAAATTCACCAGGAAATTCAGGAATTGGATTGTTATGATGATGTTCCAGAAAATGATGACATGATTGTCATTGAATAAATGAGTAAATTCTTGATACTGTAGGATTCACAGTTTGTCTGGTTTGTGTTGACAACTACCGTACTACCGTACCGTATACAGGTAATAAATTTCCTTTATTTTCATTTAGCAATAAATGTGTACCGTATTCTTCTTCATGGAAAAATAAGACATCCCCTGAAAATAAGACCTAACACTTCTTTGGGAGCAAAAATTAATATAAGACGCTGTCTTATTTTCGGGGAAACAGGGTAGATATTTTACATATTTTGTTAAGTTTATACCCAAGAATGTCATATTTTGTGGCACAAAGTAAATGGTATTGTATTTTTAATTTCAGATTCTATTTATTTACAGGAAAGTGGTTGACTTTTGCATATTACCTTTCTATCCTGAGACCTTGCTATAATTGTTTATAAGTTCCAAGGGTCTCAGTGAAATTTTGATTGCCTCTTATGAGAAGGAGGTACAGCGACATCTCCCTGTAAACCCCTGCAGTGAATTTGGTATTGCATTATTTCATTTTGGATGTCTTCGCAGTAGTTTTTTTTTTTTAAGTTATAAAAAAAAACACATGCAGACACATCTGGAAAGATACACACCAAATAGTTAACAGTAGTTCCTTTGTTAGTATGGGCTACGGAGTCAGAGTATTTACTGTATGTAATACTATATTTGCTTATATTTACTATTTAAATTTTGAAATATAACCTAGTAAAGAAAAGTACATAGAAACATAAAATACGGTCAAAATAATTATTTAGCCACTGTCTCGTTTAAAGTACAAGACACCACCAGTCCCACAGAAGCTTGATTGTGGTCTTTCCCAGTTACAATGCCCTCTCTAACCCCAGAGTAATCACTGTACACATTTGTACAAATGTTAGTTATTTGGATTTATTTATAGTTTTACCTCTGAAATAATGGACTTCAAATGACTACTTTGAAATTAATTTAAGTAGAATCATTTAAACGGAGTCATTTGTGTCTGGCTTCTTTTGCTTAACTTTGTTTTTGTGAGGTTCATTCCACGGTTACCTGTAACTGTAGTTCGTTCACTTTTATTGCTGTAAAATATTCCACTTTATGAATACCAGAGGCCCAGTGCACAGATTTGTGCACTGGTGGGGTCCCTCCACCTGCCTGTACCCTCTCGCAATCCGGGACCCCTTGGGAAATGTCAAACTGCCAGTGATGTATTTTGGATTTTAATTGTCTGTAAGTTATATATATTACAAACATCTTTCTTCCACTATCTGACTTACCTTTCTCCTTCTTTGAGGGTATCTGTTAATAAATAGTTTTTTAATTTTGTTGTGATCCAGTTGATCAGTATTTTGTAGTTAGCACTTTTTGTTTCTTAATCAGAGGTCACAAAGGCAATTTGAATTTTTTTTCCCCCCCTAAAAGCTTTGTTTTGTCTCTCACATTTAGGTCTTCAGCCTACCTGGAATAGATTTCTGAGAGGCATGAGGTGAGCCCATATTTATGTACTAAAAACAAATAGACACAAAACTATATTTCTTTAGCAGCAACATAAACATCAAGCATGTGATGGAGGCAGGGCTTCATGTAGTTGAGCCTTTGCGAGTCCTCAAAGGCTCAACTATCCTAAGTACATCTTCTGCTGCCCCGTCCCTCCTCGTGACCCCTTATTAGCCATTGTCCTGCTCTGGTCAGTGAATTCTTAAAGGCAAATGGGAAGGAGAAATAATTTACCTTCTAATCTTATAAGCATTCTATTTAACTGAACTTTTGAGTTTATTTTCAGTTTGTGTTTACACAGGAAACTAATATTTTTTTTAAAGTGCAACTTATTGCAAAGCAAAATCTAAAACTTGAACAATAATGTTTGGCTGGCATGGCTCAGTGATTGAGCATCTAGCTATGAACCAGGAGGTCAGGGTTTGATTCCCAGTCAGGACACATGCCCGTGTTGCAGATTTGATCCCCTGTGTGGGGAGTGTAGGAGGCAGCCCATCAATGATTCTCTCTCATCATTGATGTTTCTATCTCTCTCCCTCTCCCTTCCTCCCCAAAATTACACACACACACACACACACACACACACACACATAATTGAGCTATGCTAATTTTTGTCTCAATATTGAAGTGCTATCCACATTTTGAGTATAGTGATGCTTTTAACATGTAGATCTTTAATTTTGCTAAAAAATTTATTGAAAGTTGCCAGTGTGAATTTTAAAATGGAACTGAACTTGCTTTAGAAATAATCTTTCTTATCCTCAGAAACGATTGTCTCTATTAGAAAGAAAGAAAAAAAAAGAAACTTGGAGTAGTAGTGATTATTTTCTGCATACAGGTCTATTGGAAAGAAAGGAAATATGCAGCTGGAAGGAATTTAAATGTCATCTAGTGCAGGATTTCACCTTGAAGGAGTGGACTCTTCTCACTTTTAATACGATCCAGAAAAGAAAATTCCACTCTCTCTCCTGCTAATATTTAATATACTTTCACTGTCAAATGATTTTTTTTTTTACGCTATGTCTTAAGTCTGTTTTCTTATTCTGTTTTAAATGGAGACAGAGAGATGGGGCCAACCATCTGTGTCTATAGTAATTCTTTATCTACTTGATGGTCATTACTAAATCCATCTACCTCCTCTATTTAGTATAACCTAATGTTTGTTTAGCTCTTTCTTTTAAGCCAGTTTCTGAATCATCTATTTAAGTTCTTGTTCCATCTGAATTCTTCTCATGCCATCTATAAATCATGATTTATAGAATCAAAAATTGAACACAGTATTTCTGCCAATGTATGGCCAAATGTTAGTAAATCAGTAGGGATGATATTCTATTTTAGAGAGTCTTCTAAGACTTCTAACCTGATTTTTTTTTTTATGATTAAAAAGATTTTTGGACTTATGGCTATATATGGCAGTTTCAACATACTTATTTATCTCTGCTTCCTGAGACTACCCAAAATGGTAGGTAACCAAAAAAAAAAAAAAAAAAAAAAAAAAGGCATAAATCTACATGGACAAGGAAAATGGGAGGCTCAGCTCGGGCTCAGCTCGGAGGATAAGGGATGCTAACACATTTTTGGCAGGTAGAAAGCACATGGATGAATGGGAATTGAATTAGCAGAGGGTGGAAAATTGAAAGCCAGTTGCCCACCGAGAGGGAAGTCAATCTGAAGGGATGGTTTGTGGTCAGGACACGGAAGTCTCTGCACTTGGAACCACAAGCTGTGCTAGAAAGACAGGTTTGAAGGGTGAAGTTGAAAACTGGTGATGTTAGTTAAACCCCTTCCTATTCCAGGTGGCTGGACAGATACCCCTGGTAGGTATAATTTCTAGAGAAATTAGAGAGGTTTTGGACTTGGAAACAAGATACAGATGAGATATCTTTTGGGCACCCAAAACTCTGACAACCAGGTTTATATTTCCCTATCCCTGGATTAGAAAATGAGAAGATCCTTGTCTGGGAAACTGACCAATTGAGTAATTGAACTACAGTTACAGGTAACCACTGACCTCCTATTTGGAGGTCTCCCATAAAATAGCTGGGCACCCCACCCAATACCACAGAAGTTCAACTTTGTAGGTCTCACAGTGGACTGCCAAAGATCATCACATATTTAAGGATAATGAATGAATGAGATTAAAACAATCATGAAAGGAGCTTCAGAGGAAAGAGGGCAAAGCAGGGAGGAAAAACTTCCAAAAATTATAATTGCTATTCTTTGAGAGATTAGAGAAGATATTGCATTCATGAAACAGGGTTTCAAAATTAAATATAATAACAGAAATTAAAAATTCAGCAAAGAGTTGGAATGTGGATGGCACGGTCCAGAAATTGAATGAAAAGGCAGAGACAGCAAACATGAGAGAAAAGAGGAAATAAGAAGCTCCATTTAGGGAGATCAAAATCTGATTAATCATAGAGTTTTAGAAAGGAAATAAAGAAAATGCAGGGGAGAAAGTGATAGAATTATATGAATACTTTTCTAAAATTGAAGGGCATTAATTTTCATATGGAAAGGGTACATTGTGGTACATTGTGTTCCAAGCACAACACATTTAAAAAAAAAAGCCAATTCCAAGACACATCTGATAAAGTCTGTGAATAAGATAAATTTTTCCTAAAAGTTTTAACAGAGCAAAAAAGTAGGTTATAGACAAAGACTCAGGAAGCAGGCTGGTGTCTGACTTCTCAACTGTGATGGTGAATTTAGAAGAAATAGAACTAGGCTTTCCAAATCAGAGGGAAAATAATTTCCAATTTGGGATCTTGTATCTGGCCAAACTGTCAACCAAATGCAAGGGCAAAATAAGGCTATTTCCAGACAGACATGAAAGGTTTCAAAAATTAGCCTCCCTTGCACTCTTTCTTGGGTAGTTCTTGGAGGAAGTGCTCTACCAACATGAGAGAATAAGTCAAAAATTTCGCAGCAAGTAGGGCAAAGTGAGGGAAGATCACTGATAAGAAGTGAAGGGAAGGTCAGGTGACACCTGGAGGGCTGGAGAACAACCTTTCCAGATCAGATCGGAGGCTAAAGAGGCCAGGGAATAAGGAAACAAACAAATCCAAAAGGTTACGTATGTAATATGTTTATCTTTGACGAGATGAATCTTCTAGTTCTGTGCTAAAGTTTGGGGAAAATTAACATTAAATACATAAGAAAAGAAAAGAAAGCAAATGGAAAATTGAGGTAACTATTCACAGTAGGCAAAACAAAAGATTGTGCAAGAAAAGAAATATAATCATGGAATACTATAGGGTTCAGTTATGAACAGTATTTGAACAGACATAATAATGTAATACAAATACTAAATATTATGGTAACCAAAATGATGATATAGTTAAATTGAGAGGATTTTGGTGGGATGCAGGAAAATATGTGTAGAAGATAAGAGAGCTATATTTTCATCTGTCACAGCAGGAAGCCAATAAACATTAAAAATGAATAAGAAATGACAGTTGAAGAATATTTGTTAAAATATGCATGTACATACTAAGAGAAACAGCTAAAAGAGTTGAAAGTGATTGTCTTTGGTCCCTGGGTCTCCAGAATATACAAATTGGGTAAAAATACTAGTTATTTGACTGAGTTTATGTACACACATTTATTATGTACATACATCTAATTGAATTAAGTATGTAAAACATATTAAACCTTTCCTGGTTTCCTTGTAAAAATTATTTTTCCCTTGTGATAAAACAATGAAAAGTACTATAGTCATTTGATTCAATACTATGGCAACCACGTGTCATGAATTTTTCTGGGTTATTTGGATTTCAAACTTTATCAGACCCAAAACTACAGTTGCCATTTACAAACTGTGTGCCTTGCTTATTTGTTTATTTTGGGCTTGCCATAGCGGTTCCTGGTGAGCTCCTCTCAGAATCTTCCATCTTTGGCTGCGTGGAGACTTTGGAAGGAAAAGCATATTATGGTTTTGTCCGATACTTTAACTTACTTTTTGAAAGTTTTTTTCTTTCCTATATTTTTTTTACTTCCTATGTCTTTAATATACTAATTTCATTCATCCAGAAACATTTATTGACTGTCCTGCTCTAGGCATCAGGAAGGAATAATACAAGGCAGAGTCCTTGCTGTCAGCAAACTTGCCATTCACTAATTCATCTGACAAAATCAATGATGGCATTTCATACATTCTCAGCATTAGTTATTAATTAAAAAAGAAAAGTCAGAGGCAAAAGGTTGCTATTCCAGGATAAGTCTGTGAGAAAACTCGCAAAATCTTGTTCTCCATGAAAGTCTTATGTATGAATTTAAACCTTCAATTAAATGCTATTTGTTCTATAGAAAAATATTTTTCTTTTAAATATTTTTTATTGATTTCAAAGAGGAAGGTAGAAGGAGAGAGAGAGAGAAACTTCAGTGATGAGAGAGAATCATGGATGGGCTGCTCCCTGCCTCTTGTTCCTCTATTGGGGATCAAGTCCACAACCTGGGCATGTGCCCTGACCAGGAATTGAACTGTCACCTTCAAGTTCATGAGTTGATGCTCAACCACTGAATCACACTGGTGGGGCTATAGAAAAATCTTTATTGGGGAATTTAATTTGTTTCACCTCTGCTCAGCCAAGAGGCTAGCTTACATCCTGTGAAACAGAGGAAATGCCAAATATGGCAGCTGTTTCATTGCTGTGAATGAGCCTGCAGAGATTTGGCCTTTAGTCAGTCAAGTCCAGAAATGTGACTTCAGTAGGTTCCTTGGAGAGCAATGTATTTCCAGCCTCGGGAATGAGGTGGGCATGACCTTGCTGTGTTCCAGTCCCAACTGTGGGAATCTCTGGGCACCTCTGGTTTCACCCTTGTCCTAGGACCATGGTGAACTGCGGCTTGCGAGCCACATGAGGCTCTTTGGCTCCTTGAGTGTGGCTCTTCCACAAAATACCACCACCTGGGCGAGTCTGTTTTGAAGAAGTGACGTAGGAAGAAGTTTAAGTTTAAAAAATTTGGCTCTCAAAAGAAATTTCAATC